CATTGTGCCCGAAAGATATTTAATATATTGTTTTTATCATTACAAATAACATTGCAATCAAGAAATACTATTACTTCATGTAGAAATGTTTTTTCTGAGTTACTTGTACACAAAATCAATCAATAACTATCAATAAATTAATATTATATATCTTATCATTTTTATATAGTATCATCAATCCGGTCCATCATTAAAAACATTTTATGATATATCTCTAAAGTATAGCTTGACATTATTTGGAATCACAATGTTAACTACTTGGAGTAACACTCTATGTAAATCAATTGATTTCACCATCTCACATCATGTTATGTCTTTTATCACTTTTTTTAGCTTTTAGGGTTAAATTTTCTTTGTTTCCAAACTATCAATCTTAGAATAAAAGGTAAGTGTTGGTTATAACTTGAAAGCCTATTCTTGTTAAAATAAAAGATAGAAGTTTTCTTAGTTAACAACAAGATCTATTATATTTTAATACAAAAATAGAATTCATGTAGATGAAATAATCAAAAGTGTTATTGAGAGATGAATAATGGAGAAATATCAAGATTTTATAGGTAAGTAGTATAAGATAAAAAAAACATAGAGATAAATATGCAAATACCAGAAAAAGAACGATCAATTAACTTCTTAGTTTTTACATATTTTATTTTTCAATATAATTAATTCATACATATTTGGGTCTTTAATATAATATAAAATTAGTTTTTGGTCCTATTAGATTAGATATAAGAAAATTTGTCTATTTTATTTATTAATTTTTTTACTGCCACTATAATACTATATTCTAAAAAAATTGGACCATATTTCTTGTGGGTCCTATGCATATTTCTGGTCTGCCTTCTCCCGGGGATGACCCTGCTCATGGAACAAAGTGGAACAAAACTATATTTTTCCAGTATATTCCAAAAAAGAAACACAATTTTTTTTTCCTAAAACATCAAATACATTCTTTAAATTTTATTTATTATATTTCATTATATTTAAACTTTTACTTTACTATACTCAAAATATTATTCGTATATATGTTCTATATTTTGGTCAATTTATATAATTTGTTAAATATTAATAATAAAAAAAATAATACTTAAAGGGTATAAAATAAAACTTGAAATTAATAAACTTCATTTTTTTAGTTTCATCTTAATCGTCATGAAAAACTTTTTAATGGTATATATCTTGTTATAAAAGAATATTTGTTTTGTTATAATTTAATAAATTAGTAAATTAATCAATATATAGAAAATATATAAACAACTCATTATGGTAAATTAATCATTTTATTCAGTCATGTCACTAAACGTTGAACAGTTGACATGTCATGTCTTACTATGTTATGTTCTATCATGCTCTGTCTAATTTTGTCTAAATATCAAATGCACCTTAAACTCCTAACAAAGAGACACTTACGGGGCCTTTGGTTTGCAGATTTTGAAGGAATCTAATAGAACTGGAATGTCGAATTTCATTGACGAAATTTCATTCTCTCGTTTGATTCATTTTTTTTATGGAAGAAATCTTCAAAATCCTACAAATTCCAAAAATAAAATAATTTAACATTCCTTAGCAATTACATAGTATTTTGATGGAATGAAATTCTCTATTTTTATAATACCAAATATGTCATTAACCCAATATACTCTTATCTCATAAAACTCAATATGACCATCGTTGACCATCTCTGATCACTGTCGATTTGAATCACCGCCGACTAGGCGACTATCACCGATCTGAACCACTGTTGGCCACCGCCGATCATCAGTGCCACTAACATTGCTTCGAATTACCGCCATTTGAACTGTCATAGACCATCACCGATCTGAACGACTGCCGACCACCACCGTGGATCACCACCGATATGAACCACGGTCGACCACTACCGATATGAATCACCGCTGACCACCGTCAATCTGAACCACCGCTGACCACCGTCAATCTGAACCACCGCTGACCACCATCCAATTAGCTATTTTACATGATAAATAATTAGTTATTTTGAGACAATTTAAATATCGATTTAGTAACATCGTTTGGTTTATAGTTATATTTAAGTTGTGTTATTTATATTGTTTTACATATTAAATAATTATTTTATTAAAATATTTATATTTTTTTTTTAAAATTCCAAAAAATGTCATTTTGGTCAACAATATTTCATTCCAATTTCAAAGCTACAATCTGTGAACCAAATAAACAGATTTCAATTCATTAACATATTTCATTCTAATATCTGCCGACCAAACAAATTGTCAAACCTGACAACATTCCATTTCAACTTCTTCAAAAGTCAAATTTCTTAGCAAATTCTATTTCATCCAAAAACGTTCTGCAAACCAGACACAACCTTACTTCTATATATATCCACCATATCCCCATCTATAATTACATATTTTTATAATGGATCGTATTAATGCAGATAAGAAAAAGTTTGTAACGATTTTATCGTCCAAAACCTATTTGTTTAAAACCAAAAATTGATACGAGTGCTCAAATTTTGTAGGAACATATAGGTAAAATGTCAAAATAATATAGGTAAAGTTTTTTTCTTTTCACACTTGCGTCTTTAAGTTCTTCTAGTTATTTTTGATGGTTTCCCTAGTGACCCAGTCAGTTTTGGCGAAAACCCCTCCACTATCTCGCTTAACGGTCGTTATCCTTGTATATTGCTACCGTTAGTCCTTACAATCATGCTACAAACAACAATGATAACGATGGTGATGGTTTTGTTAAACATATATCAATTTATTGTTCATTTGGTTTAAATATAAATCAATTAACCTAATGTTAATTTCATATAAACGCAAACCAATTCATCAGAAAGAAAATTATATAAATACATTAACAGTATAATTTGCTACTCGGTTAACCACATGGTAAAGGAAATAATCGAAATCGAAATATATCTTATTTGGTTAACCGAACCGTTTAACCCGTAAAGCAGACAATCCAAAACCGTTTTGGTTTGGATCAATTATTCAGTTTCGGGTTTTTTTATATCCCTAGGGCCCCCGGCCATTGCGAGTTATAAGCCAAAACCGATCTTGGCACAGTTGGCCTAGTTTTTACAAAAGCAAAAACAATGCAAGATGTTGAAAATGGAAAGGAGCTCCAATGGTTTCTTATCTACTATCTTCTAAACCATTCTATATACGAGGTGCTGCTCCTTGTAATTTACAGAGGTGGTACGTGCTATGTAACTCCTCAATATTCATTTGATTTAATTTGGTTAATGCGACTCAAATTCGCATTTGTTGAGAATTCGTGTCGTGTTATGTTAAAACAAAATAAATTAAAAATAATAAAAACTTTTTTCAAAAGGCAGAAGCAATTTGATTATGTTTGACTAACTAGCTGATAAATAAGCTGATAAGCTAATTGATAAACATATAATGTTAAATGAGACTAAGGGGTCGTTTACCAAACGTTTATTCGGGTAAGTGTTTATCAAGTCACATTACCTTGCCGGATAAATAATATGATAATGACCAATAATCTTATCCGGTAAGAGCGGGACAAGGAACAAGAGTCTTACCCGGTAAGTAAGAGCAACGACTCTTACCACGGTAAGCGCTTACCAAGTAAATTGTTGCGTATGATGTCATTTTGGTGGACTAAAATCATAAGCGGTAAGTAAATGATGGTGTTAAATTTTACCAATAAACGTTTACCGAGCAAGTATTTGGTAAACGAGCCTAGCTGATGAATATACATGACAAAAAAACATCTTTATAATGAGTCAATTACAATATTTTATATCATTTTTAATTATATAGAATAATAATTAATAAAAACAAGATAGTAAAGAAGGAAATAATATAACATGTTATAAATTAAATATTATA